GTGTGTGTGTGTGTGTGTGTGTGTGACCAGAGCTCATTATCTGAGACCTGCACGACGAAGCTTGTTTGGGGTTTATCTTCAGGGTTAACCTTGGCTTTTCAGTGCTACATAAGCAGTCGGCTACTCCCTGCTCTGTACTACACAGCCTGCTGCAGAGCAGAGATGCTACTGATGAAGAAATGCTCGTGAACACTGTGCCACCCTTCCTGCAGATTCCCTCACACAGCAGATAGTGCTGAGCCTTTTTCTTTTTCGGCTGCAAACAATCTTACAAAAATGTTATTGTTGTATGAGCATTAATAGGCTGTATGATCCTACAGGAGGCCTACTGTAGGATCATACATCTTCAACCAGCCCTCATTTCTTTACATTTTGCTTCCACTAGATTTTCTTCCACTGGTCTTAAGTTTTAAAACATCACCTAGTTGACAACCAGTGTTCTGTACACGTAAGAGATAAAGAACCAATATGAAATCCTGTCTTTATTTTAAAGTTTAATATGTTTATTTATTTATTTAGATAAAAAATACATCAGAGAGCAACCTGGGGTTGGTATGTTGCCACGATTTGACATGCAGACTGGAGCAGCCAGGGATTAAACCACTAACCCTCCCCATTAGTTGATGACCTGCTCTCCTTGAGCCACAACCAGGAGGTAACTTTTCTAATAAACCATTGTTAAGGAAAGGAAATGGGGAGAAAAGGCTGAGATATGCCAGATTACATAAGACCTGGATTGAAAAACAGCAGGTTTCTGAGCCTAATTTTGACATTTTTGTCTGAAATTGTCATTAATATGTATGGACGAAGTCAAGAGAGATGTGCAGCAGTGAGCAGGTGCCTGTAAAACATGCAAGAGGCTCTGTCACAGTGTAGGGCTGTATTTCAGCCAGTGGTGATGGGCTCTTCCCAGAAATGATGGAATTATGAACACAGAGAAGTACTTTCAGATTTTAATCAACTACACAGTGACATCTGGAATCTGATTGGCAACAGCTTCATTTTTCAGCATAATGAGCTCAAAGACACGGCCACTGCAGTAAAAGCATAGCTGGATAGACACTGTGGAAGAGTATCAGTGGTGGACTAGTCTCTCCTGGACTTCAGCATGAATTGTGTAGAGTGGGATCATCTCGACAGAACCAAAGGCAGATAAAGGAGCACTCTCCAGTGTCTTTCAAGAAGCCTGGGAAACTATCCCTGAGGACGACTAAACGCTACAAGACTAACAACTAAACAACTAAAGACTACAGAAGGCTTAGGTAACAGAGTTCAGGCTGTGCTGAACAATGGAAGCGGTCATTGACTAGTGTTTGTTTGTACCAACTCTGTTTTCCCCTGTAATTGTGCACTTTTCAGTCATCTTTCCATGTTTCAATAAACTGCTACACCTATTTCCCATTTTCCCCAGCAAAGTGTAAAGAAATGGGGGCAGCTCAGGACTCTTGCACAGTCCTGTGTTTGTACTTGCTGAGCTTCCTTAAAATCTGCTCCTACATTTGAGTTTTGTTTCCATATTTCTTCTTCACTTGTTCTTAGACTGTGAAACAGCATTGGAGCTGAAAGAACAATTCAGTTCAGTTTTATTTATGTAGCACCAAATCACCACAAGACTCAAGTCAAGGCCCTTTAGGTGCTGAGACCGTACAGTCTGACAACGCCCCCCTGTGACCATCGTGGGAAGGAAAAACTTTTAACAGGAAGAAACTTCAAGCAGAGCCTCAGGGAGGGGGTGGGGTGAGGACAGGGGGGCAGGACGAAAGACACATTGTGGAAGAAACCAAGAGATTAATAATAACTAATGATTAAATGCAGTAGAGGTGTATAAACACATACTGCAGCATAACTAAGGGAGGATTCAGGGTCACCTGGTCCAGCCCTAACTATATGCTTTAGCAAAAAGGAAAGTTTGAAGCCTAATCTTGAAAGTAGAGATAGTGTCTGTCTCCTGAATCCAAACTGGAAGCTGGTTCCACAGAAGAGGGGCCTGAAAACTGAAGGCTCTGCCTCCCATTCTACTTTTAAATACTCTAGGAACAACAAGTAGGCCTGCAGAGCGAGAGCGAAGTGCTCTAATAGGGTGATATGGTACTACAAGGTCATTACGATAAGATGGGGCCTGATTATTTAAGATGTGAAGAGAAGATGTTCTCAACGCTCTCACACATGGATGTGGTGTATGCTGGCTTCGTTGTACATGCCTCTAGTGAAGGACTTGTTGAAGGCAAGCTTAAAGAGCATTAGTGAATAATTTAGTCCTGGTGCAAATATGGGGTAAGTGTTTTTTTAAGAGGGGCATATATGGCAGCAAAATGGGTTGAATCAATACTCCCACTGATACAGTTGGCAGCTTAAGAACTCGAAGGATTGCTGCACTGTCAGACTTTTGGGCAACAATTGCAAACTACATTGATAACTTCAGATAATAGCAGTGTGCTGCATGTGTGCTGTATATGTTCTAAAACAGACCCGGTCTAGTTGTTTGAGGAAAAGATATTCAGCCAACTTATCTGCCAAAAATAAAGAGAAACATCAAAAACATTAAACTTACAAAAAACATTTGACAAAGAGAAGCTGCCTCTTCTTTACATCTTTACTTTCCCCTTATAGTGTGTTACAGGGTCCTGAAGCTAAACAGGTCCACCTGATGCTATTGTGAGAGCCTGGAGCCGTTTGAGCTTCTAACATTGCTGTTTCATTGCCCCTGCAGCAGCGACGAGGACAACAAGCCTCTGCAGGGCAGCCAGACTTCACTGGATGGCAACGTAAAGGAAAGCGACGACAGCCTGGTGGACTACGGCGAGGGAGGAGACGGGCAGTTCAACGAAGACGGTTCTTTCATCGGCCAATACACAGTGAAGAAGGACAAGGACGAGACGGAGGGCAACGAGAGCTCCGAGGCCACTTCGCCTGTGAATGCCATCTACTCGCTGGCATAGCGGCTCAACAGCGCACACGGGGAACTTGGACTCTCTGATTTGTTATGATAGAACCACACACATGATTCTATGAGTATATGAAACACATTACACACAGTGAAAGCAGCAGTGGCACCAGTCTGGAGACTGTCTAGGCTGTCCTCTGCAGGTAACGTGGAAAAAGATGCGACCACAAGCCTTTAATTTATTTTTCCAGTTCTAACAATATGGTCCATGGACACATCTGGAGAAAGTGGACGATGCTCGTTTTCCTTTGCGCTCTGCCTGCCCTTTACCCACACAGACTTGAAGTGTGCCTTCGGGAGGCATCAAACGTTCTTTAGAGATTTTTTGGTTTGTGACTCAGCTCTGCTTCCCGATAACCTCCCCCGTGCCCGGCATACCTCTGCGTAACCAAGTAAAGTAGTCACAGAGGTTAAATATACATACACACTCTGGCCACATCCTGTAACATATCAGCTTCTAACCATAGGATGCCGGCAGATATGTTTATCATATTGATATTTAGGCAATGAAAGATTTTAGTTTTTCCACAGCTGATAGAGGAGTCCGTGAAACTTAACGAATGCTGTATAAAGTCCTGGCACACATTTTAGTGCCCTGCAAATCTATGCACTATCACCTCCTTCATACCATTTTTGGTTCCATCTGGTTAGTAAAAGTACACATTGTGGGCTTCTTTTTAGCAGGTTCAGTCCCAAGGTGGACTTTGTTGCAGGTGTTCCCTCTTATCCTGTGTTGCAGTTGTTCAAAATGCTTTTGCTGGGTAAAGCTGTTTCATGCTTTGTGCTCAGTTACAGTATGTGGTTAATTAAACCCAACGTTGTTCTGAAGCATGGTCATAAACTTAGTGCGAGAGAAATGTGATAGGTTTGCTCGAGAAACACCAGCGCACTAAAAAACAGTGAATTCCCTAATTAGCATGTGGGCTTGTGCTACATTCATGTCTAGCTGACAGGGTTCGAGGGCAATGGTTCCCACACTAATATGGGAATCATCGCCATCATGTTGTGGGAATGTGGGAAAAACTGCAAAAGGAAGAAGTTTGAATTCAATGTGTCCTGCCGTGAACGTAATCGTGAAAGACACTGGAAATGTCCAGTCTGCTATCCAAAGACAGTTTAGTCTGTGAACTCGAGGAGGTGTGGATCAAACTGCCAACCTCGCAGTTATTGGATGAGCTCATCAAAGCACAAGATGACTGGTCAGTCACAGTCCTGGATCAATATTCTTCTGATATTGCAGGACAACTGTGAGGCTCCTTAATTCTGTTGACTTTGTTAAAGAGTTACATCCAATCAGGTAAACTGGCAGTTTTGAAAGTGTGTTTTAGAACCAGGCCAAATGTATGGTGGTCACACAGGGACATATTTCAACTGAAAGAAAATATTCTTCTGCCCCTCTTTAGCACTGCGAGTGTCAGGTTAGCATCTTCGTTTTGTCTCCTGGGTCATGAATGTAGCACCAGAAGTCATGATCCATAAGCCGTGTCCACACTAACCTTTGTGCGTCCAGCTTCACTCCGGCTGTGCAGACATCATTACCACACACTGTATACAATGACCTCCAGTACTCACTGTTACTGGAACAGCCACACGTGTTGATCTGAAAGAGTCCACATAGATACGTTCAATTCTTTTACTTTTTTGCCTTGAGGTGCTTTATATTGCAAGGTACAACATGGGCGAGCGAAGGCCAACAATCACATGATGTAGATAAGGTGCATCCTAATCAGTGAGGTAAGTGCACTGCACTCTGTGCAGCCTGACCCCACCTGCACAGAGGGACCTCTTTGGATCTTTATGAACTTGATCCGTTTCTTATCGCTCCAAAAAGACATAATTACAAAACACTGCTACGTGATACAAATGATTTAAAGAATGAAAAGTACAATTCACAGCCACAAATGAAAGTTATCTGCTTCATTTGACATTTTTGAGGTTCACTCCTGCTGCAGTTACTGAAGCTACTATTAACCCCTGAGTGCTACATCAAACAGGCGGACATTTGGAATATTTATTTGATATTTATTACATTATGTGGAAAGCATTAATATATTAGTTCTTCATTTAATTCACTTCATTTTTATGTACAACTGAGCCAAACTACCGATGGCTAGAGAATAAAGTTATTGTTCATCGCGAGAGGCATCAACACACAACTGTATGTTCAACATATTTTTCTAGCAGCTACGTTTTCTGCTGTACCGACGTCTCTGTCCATCCTTATACTCATGCTGTGTTACTGTTACTCTGTGTTGTTGTTCAGACTTAAGTAGCATAACCTTTCCATCATTCTAAGAATGAATCGATGTGTGTTCATTATTGCAGATTATTTGGTATTTATTTTGTACATCAGAGTCCTGAAAGAAAATCCTACCTTTGTAAATATTGAAGACTTGACCCTCACCCGCCCAATGAGTCACAAATCTGCATCCACCAAGCAGCTGTAGTGGTGCAGTCTGTCCTGCACCTTTGTTATGTAGCTTGGATTAATCTTTGCACTCTGAGGAAGAGTCATCCCTTTGCGTTGTCATATACGGACTGTGGCAAGCCTTCTCAGGTGATGGCTTGGTTTGTGTTGTGAAAGAGAAACATGTTCGATTCTACTGTGTTCAAAGTAACAGCTCCTGCAGCGTACTACCTGAGTTACACAAACTACTACAAGACCTGAGAACATGAATTTCCTGAGGTCCCCTCCTTGTCTCAGATAGAGGCTGGATACACAGGCATGACATGTGTCTCATTACAGGGGTCAACAACTTTGATCCCTGTAATGTATTCCACTTTGTTTGTTGGTCTTTGTTCCCCATTTCAACTCTTCTCAGGTGCTCTTTGTCAACTTGTAAATCTGCATATCCACAAAAACCTTGGTAAGATGTCTTAAACTGGGGAAAATCATTCATTTTCTGAACTTCCTCTTTCTTAATGTGTCCTAGTGTGAGACGGCCAATTAACTGCAGCCCCAAACCTGACATGTGTTTCAAACGATCCACAGCAAACAGGTACAGTGTGATATCAGACCACATCAAAATAACACTTCCACAATCCTCAGCTGATACACTTACACTGCAGAATGAAACGGTTTTACTAGTTTTGATCTCTGTAACAAAGACCAAAGGGATGTTTGTCATGATGATATATAATCAACACTAAGCGTTCGGTAAAACTAACATTTAAACGGCGTGTTCTCTTCTGTCTAGAATCCGTTGACAGCTCTCTCTCGAGCACTGTACAGATGAACCTTGGCAGTGTTAATACAATACAGAGTTGGACGAGCTGCCTGCTAATGGCTGCAGTAAGAGGCAAGCCTTTCTAATTCAGTCAGTTTGATTTGTTAAAGCAAACTCAACACTTCATGTGTACACTGAAGGACACGTGAAGGACACTAAAGGAGTAAAACTCCTCAATCATTTCATGCAATGGGAAACCCTTTAATCTTCCTGTGAGATGTTTGCCTGCATACTGTATGCAAAAACACTGAACGAGACCAGACAACCACAAAGCCAGGCAGATCAGCATCCACATCTATTGGAGATAAAGAATCTGAATTTCAGGAGTGGGACATGCCTCCAAACATGCTCCTTCTGGTTCTTTTCTACATATGACTCCCCCACTTCTGGTTTTCATGCCCCACCCTCACCTCTTCACTTCTCATCAGTACACAGATCTGCCATGGAAACAGGGCATGTGTTTTTGGACTTTGATGGGAATAGGGGAACATTTGTATTCTTTTAATAATTTACCTTGAGTGTTTTTGCCAGGCTGTCTCTATCCCCATCTGTGCTACATCCAAGTGTTAGCTACAGTTATCCTTCTTGTGATGTAGCACAATGCCACTTGAAATTGATTGAAGTTACCTGCTTAGCAGGGCGCCAGGTTAAAAACAGTTGTAGAGGATTTTCATGAAACACATGCTTATTTGCTTCCTACAGTGGGTTTAGAAGTTGACCCAGACCACCTGCTGCTGAAGTCTGCAGAGGAGAAGGCCACTTTACTTATGATAGACCTTGTGGCTCCAAAGTGAAATTTGAGTTTGAGCATCTCTAAAACAGAGCCCAGTAGTTTCCTTCTCATTGCTGATCTTATATTTCTCACGGTACGTCCCAGTCATCTGTCCTCTCTCCTGAATGTTAAAGCAGTGTCCTCTGAGTTTTAATCAGCAGGATGACTCCTCCCATGCTGTACTGTGTTGACTAGCAGGACGCTGCTTGTGAAACTGACACAGACAGTGAGACAGAGCACTGGAAGAGGAATATTTGGTTGAAGAGCAGGTCTGAATTGTATCACTGGAACTGGAAATCTTTGCTAAAAACCATCACACACACCACTCCTTACTTGCTCTGCTGCTGCCCATCCACCAACCTCCACTGGTGGACCACAGCAGGGATGCTGGCAACATAAAGAAACAAAGGTATACAAAGCTTCGTGTGTGTCTACACATCAGTTTATGGTGCACAAAGACCAAGCTTCTTTTTCTTCACTCTTCACATTATCTTAGCTCACCTTTAATTGGGGATGAAAATAGTCAATGTGTATTTTTACAGCCTTTGCTTTTCCTTCAGTTTAAAATGCTGCAAAGTGTCAGAACTTACTGGTGCACGTTTCCAGCTGGATTTTTCACAACTGCGTCATATTGGCATCTTCTTGTTTTTACCATGTGTATCAGAGCAGCGTGTTCACACCTTGCTTCTACATGCAGCATAACAGCTTTTGTAAGGTACATCTACTCTACAGGAAATGGCTTAAATATATTCACCATGTATGCGTGTATGATGACATGTTGCAACTTCTGCTAGTGCGCCTTCTTTATAGTAAAGCTATCTCCTTTTCTCTACCTCCTGACTTGGTTGTCATCCTTGTTTCTGTACTTCTGTGCAGCATAGATTTAAAGCAGTAGACTTTCCTATGGAAGAATTGATTATTTCATCCTAATTCATTATATTAATAGTAGAAAACACCACATGTTTCTACTGATACATAACCCAAAATCTTTGTCTTCATTTACAGGCTCCCTCTAGGAGAGCTGGTGATGGCCAAGCTAGCTCCTCTGGTGGCCTCTTGAGGCTGGCTCTAAAACAAAGTCTCAAGTTAAACTGACCAATGTCACAGAAATAAAAGTGCATCATTACAAACTGTTACAAAACCAAAACTATTTTACTGCTTTGCACTTTGTGTTTGGTTCTCCCTTTATAAAAGCTGAAAAAGGCTTAAAGTCTGGAACATTTCTACGTGTGCAGCAACAGCCCTGTTCCACTAGGCTTAAAAAAAAAACATTTTTGAAAGCAGACAATGACAGAAATAAAAACCCAAAACACACAGTCTGACAAAAAGACATTCACCATACAGCAGGTATACCATTGCGCTGACGTCCTCCACATGACTTTCAGCTGTGGTTGCCACAATGACCCCACACACGTCAGTTGTTACTAGATTGTAATGGAAAATGTCTGAAACAGAACTGAGTCCAGTCGAGCTCGTGTTGGTAGGTACCAGTGAAGCTGTAAGTGATGGTGGTCTTTTAGGCCTGACGTCTACCAAATTTTTACTTTCTGAACCAGCCTCTCTTTGCCTTTTTGGAATAGTATCATTTAGAGTAAAGATCACTTTAGATTTTTTTGCTTCAGTTTTCACGAGTGATTTTTTATTATTAGTCTGTTAGGTGATGCATGCAGTATATGGAAGGAACTTGGCAGTTATGGTCATTGTAGGGTCTAAAAGAGATGATACTGGACACAGTTTCAAAGATGAAGCTTCCTGAAACCAGTGGGTGACATCATGGTGACATCCATATATTCCACTAATTTACAACAGTCATCTCAAGATGCTTTATGTTGTAAGGTTAAACCCTGCAACATGAGTAAGAAACTCAAGCAATCACACGGCACCTTGTGAGAAAGCACTTGGTTATAGGAGAATCTCCAAAAGCTGATTGTGTTCATCTGGATGTTTTCAGTGGGAGAAACATTTCATCATCATCAGGTGACGTCTTCAGTCTCAGCTGACTGCAGGTTTCAATCCTATAAACAGTACATTTGCATGATGACTGAAACCAGGAACAATGGGCTGGGAGGTCAGTTCAACTTTTGGAGATTTACTTACCTGGATGATTGAGCATGCATCAAGACGTGATAGGAGAATATTCCCTTTTAACGGGAAGAAACCTCCAGCAGATCCAGACTCACGGAGGGGCAGCCAGCAGGTGCCAGCTGGGGGTGAGGAGAAGAGACCAAGGGCAAACTATGGGAGAGAGTCACAGACGTTAACAGTTACAGTAGTGACACATATAAACACAAACTGAACAAAGATGAGTGTTGGGTCGGCGCTTCCACAGGCCCCGCTGGTTTAGAGACTTATTCCCGTTAACGAAGCAAGACGAACAGCTCAACCGGATTTTCACATGCTAGCAAGGGGAACCGGACGGCAGCAGTCAGTGTCAAGCAAGTCCAAAGAACCAGCTTTCCCCACAGCCTTTTATTTCTGTGACACACAGGTTACACAAACACGGGGCGATCGTGGCTCAAGAGTTGGGAGTTCGTCCTGTAATCGGACGCTTGCCGGTTCGAGCCCCGGCTTGGACAGTCTCGGTCGTTGTGTCCTTGGGTGAGACACTTCACCCGTTGCCTACTGGTGGTGGTCAGAGGGCCCGGTGGCGCCAGTGTCCGGCAGCCTCGCCTCTGTCAGTGCGCCCCAGGGTGGCTGTGGCTACAATGTAGCTGCCATCACCAGTGTGTGAATGTGTGTGTGAATGGGTGGATGACTGGATGTGTAAAGCGCTTTGGGGTCCTTAGGGACTAGTAAAGCGCTGTATAAATACAGACCATTTTACCCATTGTAACCCCCCTCCCCCCCCCATGGTGCATCATAAACCCTAAGGCATTGAGTGTGTGTGTATGTGCACGCATGTGCAAGTGAGTGTGTGTGTTTGTTTTTGGGGGTGTGTTTGTGTGACCTCCTGCTCACCAAAAGGGTCACAAAGACAAGAAGTTTACTAAACAAGAAAACTGAACAGTCACCTGGATGTGTCCCTATAATAAAACACTACTGCCTCCCCTCCATTCAACAGGCTGGGGAGGGGGTCAGAAACAAAGGAATGTCTTTGATCATACAGTTTGAACCAAGACTTACAAATGTAACTAACACATGACAACATTTAACAATTTCAACCTAACAATGAGTACTGAAGAAACACGTGGTAGACCATGGAAGCCCCACAGCTGCCCATTGCAGCATAAAGGAAAGTTTTAAGCACAATCTCGACCCTGGAGATAGTGTCTGTCTCCTGAATACAAACTGGGAACTGCTTTAATAGTAGAGAGGCCTGAGAGTTGAATGCTCTGCCTCCCATTCTGCTTTTGAAAACAGTCCACAGTCTCTGAATGAAGTGATCTGTTTGGATAACAAGGTACTGTGAGGCCTTTAAAAATGTTAACAGGATGCCAAGTGTTGGGTTTATCTAGGCACAAACCCTGCTGGAACACGAGCCCAACTAACTGCACGACAAAACAAGGCAAGACAGAGCTCTTTGTCTTTGTGGCTCGCGAGGGAAGTCAGCCAAAGCTGAGGATAAGATTCCTTCACCTGAACTCAACCAACTTCAACTGATTCCTTCACTGCAGCTCTTTTTATTGTGAGAAAGCAATCATTCATGAATATGCAATTACAAATACATGTGACATTCTTAAGCAGGCATCTCTGAACATCAGTGTCTGTATTCTGTCTGTGCGTGTGTGTGTTTCCAGCCTGAATATATATTTCTAAGCATAAATGATTATGTTTCTAAGAACAAATTCTAAATTCTTGTTTAAAACAATTACGAGCATTGTTTCTCCTGATGCTCCTTGTGCACCAGTTCACTCAACCACTGAATGCAATGAGTTTATGAACTATTTCACAGATAAGGTCACTGCCATCAGGTCTAATATCTCCATCATCTTCTCAATATCAAACTTACAACTTGCTCTCCTCTGATGTCTTGTAATGTAACAGGAGTAAAAGAGGACCAAGCATCAGAGGCCTGCTTTCTCATATAAAACAGACTTCAAGCCCCCTTGATGTCCTTCCATCTTCACTTTTCACTAGTGTGTTTGATTCAATTGGCCCCTGTATTGTGGAAATGATAAATACTTCTCTTCACACTGGCTCAGTCCCCAGCTTCTTTAAACAAGCTGTTGTTGAGCCAATATTAAAGAAACCCCAGCTGGATCCATCTCTTCCTAACAGTTATAGGCCAATATCCAAACTGCCTTTTATATCGAAGATTTTAGAAAAAGTAGTACTAGAACAACGTAACTATTTCCTGGATAAAAATGCTGTTATGGACACTTTCCAGTCTGGTTTTCGTAAATTGCATTCCACTGAAACGGCCTTACTTAGAGTATCTAGTGATATCTTGATGGCAGCAGACTCTGGAGAGCACACAGTGCTGGTCCTGTTGGATCTCAGCTCTGCTTTTGACACTGTAGATCACAGCATCATGATAAACAGACTCAAGAACTTGTTTGGGATTACTGGTGTTGTTTTAAAATGGTTTATATCATATCTGTCTGAGAGATCTTTTACTGTTTTCATGAATCATGTCACATCAGAATCAACAGTTTTGCCATGTGGGGTACCTCAGGGATCTGTCCTGGGTCCAATTCTCTTTTTACTTTATGTATTTCCCCTAGGCCAAATTATTAAGCGCTATAAATATATCTCCTATCATCTCTATGCTGACGACATCCAACTATACTGTTCCTTCAAAATGTCTGAGTTTTATAAATTGTCTAATTTAAGTAATTGCCTGACAGAAATCAACAAATGGTTATATGACAATTTCCTCCAACTAAAGTCTGATAAAACAGAAACTCTAATTATTGCTCCAGCGTATCAGCTTCTTAGACCCTTCTGTAAAATCAAGCCTCAGAAATCTCGGTGCCATGTTTGACAGCTCGATGTCGCTCGAGCAGCTGGTCCGAAACTGTTTTTATCATTTACTGAATATTTCTAAACTCAGATTAATGGTGTCAAAGCTTGAACTGGAGATGATTATTCATGCTTTTATTTCTTCTCGTTTAGACTACTGTAACGGCCTTTTTACTTGTTTTAACAAATCAGCCTTAAATCATCTTCAGACTGTGCAGAATGCTGCAGCACGTCTCTTAACAGGCACCAAGAGAAGATCGCATATCACTCCAGTCTTGGCCTCCCTTCACTGGTTGCCTGTAAGTTTTAGGTTTCATTTTAAAATTGTAGTTCTAACCTTTAGGGCCCTGCATGGTCAGGCTCCTCAATATTTATCTGACCTGCTGAAACCACATTCATCTTCTCGGGCTTTAAGGTCATTAGATCAGAGACTGCTGGTGGTACCGCGCACTCGTTTTAAAACTCGTGGTGATCGGGCCTTTCAGACTGTGGCACCACGGCTGTGGAATTCTCTCCCACAGTCTCTTCGCTGCACGGACTCCACTGATTCTTTTCAGAAACAGCTGAAGACATTTTTATTTAGAAAAGCATTTGATTAATTTGTTCTTATGCTGTTTTTATTGCTTTAGTGTTTTACATTGTTTTATTTACTGTTACACTGTTTTTATATTTCCATTTCCTGTGTTGTAAAGCACTTTGTGATTTTTATCTGTGAAAAGCGCTATATAAATAAATTTTACTTGCTTACTTACAAATGACAATATAAAAACATCAACATTCCCTCCTCTTTGTCATTTTGCAAAGCCTTTCAGTGTTATATTGCATCAGCATCGCGCCACTTACATTTTAACATTTTTAGCGCATGCATCATTTTAAACACGTTTCGGCCATGCCATCCACATCACCTTGCTGCAACAGAATATAGTTAGT